TCTAGGGGAACACCCTGTTGCAGGTCTCCAGCTTATCTAAGAGAAGCCATGGCCCATGGTTTCTTCTCTCTCTCAGCAAGTTCTCTGTTCTTCCCCCCACCCCGCACTCCCCAGAGAGGAGCCCAGTATGGCTGTCCTCTGAGGGGCTCCACCCAGCAGTGGATGAAATAGCAACTGAGACTCACAGTCAAACAATGGGCAGAGTGAAGAGAGTCTTACAGGAGAGTGGAGGAAAGACTGAAGGACCTGGAGCAGACAGGAGCTCCACAAGAAGACCAACAGCCTCCAAACTCAAAGCCCAGAGGGGTTTGCAGAGACTAGAGCACCAACCAAGGACCAGGCGTGGACTAGAACTAGGAGATATATGTGTAGCTTAGCCAATATGGATGCAACTTAGCCTCCATATGAGCCCTCTAGAAAAGGAATTGGGAGCTGTTTCTAACATGGTCTCTGTTGCATGCTTTTCTATCAATTCCCCCAGTGGGGCTGCCTTACCAGGACACCGTGAAAGAGGAAGCACACAGTCCTTACATGACTGGATGGGCAGAGGTGGGTTTGTTTGAGGGGGAAGCTCTCTTTTTCTGAGGGGCAGAGGAGTGAGCATAGGGGAATTGGGGGGGATGGAGGGAAGGGACCAGGAGGAGACAAGGGAGGTGCCTAGCACTGAGAGATAAAGTGAATAACAAAATAAAAAATACTTAAAAAATAAAAAAATAAAGATACTGTTCTTGTTAGTATTTTGGAACACAACCTGCTCCTGGGTTACCCAGCGACCTATGATGTCATCATGTGTCACTGGCCAGGTGGCCACACCTGGAAGGCGTGGTAACCTTGCCCCTTAAAGGTACGACCCCTATAGGTGGTCTCTCTCTCTCTCTCTCTCTCTCTCTCTTATTCTCTCACTTTCTCTCTCTCTCTCACACTCTCTCTCTTTCTTGGGGAGCCCCCTATTCCCCTTTCTTTCTCTCTCCCCACCATGTCCTGTTCTCCCACTCCCTCCATACCCACTTAATAAACCTCTGGCATAGAAGATAGGTTGACCCCAGCCTCATCTTTCTTTAAATAATAAATAACAATTCTACCACTCAATAAGCTTTTTTTCCTTTTTTCCAATTACCTAGCCTTTATCATTCACTATTAAGAGCAATTGTGCCTATTATCAAGTTTATAAAACCATCTACATAGGAAATGTGTTTTTAAAATCATAATATGAGATAAACATTATAGTCTAAGAGTGTCCAGTTAGTCTACAAGGAAGAATAAGTCAAGAAAAACAAAATACAAGGCTGACACTTTTAATTTTCCAAAATTATGACTTTAAGTAACATGGAAAGACTTTTTGAGAACTTCACAACAGTTCCCTTGTGATGAAATTCTGTATGACGTATAGTCTTATCAGAATAGCTGAAAGACATGTCACTGCTTTCCAAATGTTCTCATTGAGAAATTAGGTTGAGTATATTCAAAGTATTGAGAGAGCTGATCTTCAGATACATTTAAGTAAGAAAATACTTTATTAGCAACTTATAGCTGACATTTTCAATTTTAGAGAGAGAGAGAGAGAGAGAGTTTATGTCTTCCTAAAGAGAAGCAATTGAGAAATAGAGTAAGACTCCAAATGGCAACTATCTCACCACCTTACTATGGACTGGAAACCTAAATACAGGTCACAATCCCTAGTACCCAAATAGGCTGAGCCCCTAGCCATAAAGAAACAAATCAAATTGTTAAATTGAGAAGCAAAAAGAAAGAAAAAATAGAGGAACTATTCCAAGGTAAATTGCACGCTGGGGAAAGTAAAGGTCTTCATTAGTGCCATTTTTTCAGGATAACATCGTACCAGGGAATTTGCCCCAAAGATGTCATCTGTGTTTCAGTAAAGCTGAGGAAAGCTTGTGATTCCTGACTCACACAATACCTGGGAAGGCAGCCCAGCCCCGGGGACAAGAAAAACAGGATTTGTTACTCTGATTCAGACATATTTACTTTACCTCCATAGAGTACTAATTCAGTTATGTTTTCTTACTCTCTTAAAAAAAATTACAGACCACAAGAATGGAGGTGGTTTCTCATGATGCTGGGAAAAGGTATGAAAAATGAGAAGGAACTGTTTGTGGCTGTATGGCTTTGTGTGCATATGACAGGACAGAAGTTTGGAGAAGGCACACCAATATTATGCTTGAGTCTTCGAACAGTTAGTTTCATTCTGTAGAAGGTTGCTGAGCTGCTAATATCTACATTTATTTGTTTTTGGTGACAGATTCATAGATGAAGCCTCTCCTCAAACTGATCAAGAGACACACATGGCATATCTATAGCTCTGTGTTTGTGTGTGTGTGTGTGTGTGTGTGTGTGTGTAAAGCAGGAGAGACAGACAGACAGAGAAAAAGAAAGAGAATTGAAACAGAATTTATGTCTAGCCTAAGATGACCTGAAATTTACTATATAACCCAGTCTGACCTCAAACTCACAACCTTCATGAATCAACATTCATTATACACAGAACAAGTTAGAAATAGGGGAAAGAATTTTGGATAAATAATCTATTAATAATAATATTATAATAATCTTAGATTATATATTATATATAATATTATAATTATTATAAAATTATAATATAATATAATATTATGTAATCTTAGATTATATATTATATATAATATTATAATAATAACATAATCTAGTAATAATAATTTATTAGAGATAAAGAAGATTTATCATACAAAATACAGGATTCTCAATTGGATTTGAATTTCAGATAAATAAATACTAGTACTAGCTCCATGCAATGTTTATCATACTCCATCTCACTAACTTAACTCTACTATCTAAATGTGAGGGCAGCCACTTGTTTTCCAAGATATTTAGAGCAGGGTTAGGTAAATATTTTTTTAGTGAAATATTTTTAGTGAAATTTAAGTTTACTTGAGTGTTCCTTAATTTTACCTGAAAAATCTTGAGATTTTACTTCAGAGTGTGTGGCTTGTCTCTGTGCATATGTCTTCTATGTTTGTGTTATTGCTATTGTGTTTGTCTTTGCATATTTGTTGCCTGCCTGTGTGTACAGAAGGGAGAAGAGATGAACTTGGATGACTTGAAGGCTGAGCAGTAACGATAAGAAGACTTGTGTTCCTTATGTTTCCAAAAACAAACGTTTTCTTTCAACAAAATGATGATAATATATAAATTATGTATTTAAAGGCTTCATATTGTAACTCAGGCCTGTAATTCCAGTGATTAGGAGGTTGAGGGCAGGATGATCTTGAGACAAGTTCAGCTTGGGCTACATAGCAAGAAGCTGTCTCAACAAAAAGAAAAAAAAAATACATAAAAAAGGGAAAAAATGGAAATCCACAATAACATACTAGAGATAATCATTGTTAAAATTAACAAATTTATCTGACTTCTTTTCATTACTCATATCCCTCAAATAGAAAATAAACAGAAAAGCTTAAAACAATATTAATGTATCCACCAGAGACGACTAGGTGGGCATGGGTTCAACCCAAAAGAAAATCTTTATTAGCTGGCCAGAGACTACACCGGGGGTTTGGAATCCAAGTGAGTCCTGAGCCTTTCTCATGGTGCTCATTTACCCATAAAACCATATCCTCAGTTGACCCACTTCAGATATCAAGAGCAGTCAGCCAAAAGCAAAACTACAAAAGCCAAAAAACAAGGTTAGTACTTTCAGAGACTTTTGCAGAACTATGTACTTTCAGTGATTAAGGTATTTACTTTCATGCTGCCAGTGGACAGGGTTCCAAGGTGTGAACCATAATTCCATCATGACATCAGTTGTGAGAGGGCCTGGAGGCATATTGGGGTCTGGGACCCTGTTACATTTAAGCTGGCATTTCTTGAAGACTTAATAGAGCCAGTTAATAGGCTTAATAGCCAGAGTTAATAAGCAGTTCAACGGTGAGACCCTCCTGAGGTAGGAACACAGAAGGTTCTCATGAAACCTCACCAAGGTCATTCAGCAGTCAGTGCTCCAGCTGGGGTTCTGATATGGCGAGTGGCTGTGATGTTTTTATAGATGATTCGTCTGTACCAACCTCCCCTTACCCAAGACACGGGGAACATCGTGGAAGAGAGGGCATAAAGAACGTAAAAGCTTTGGGGATTTAAAGGTTTTATGGGTAGATTGTTAGCCCCCTCCCTTCACCGGAAGTCTCACCTGGCTACTTGGGGTGGGGTGGTGATTTAAGGTTCCCTGTTCACCACTGCCAGGAGTCTCAGCTAAGGTCACTGCTATAGATGCCAGGGAGTTTCCCCTTTGCCAGAGCTGCCCCCAACAATTTCTGTTCTCTCTCTCTCCTCCATAATTTCTCCTCCTCACCCATTCTTCTACCCAGTTTCCTCCCTCCTACTTCAAACGTCTATTTTATTTCCCCTTCTGAGTGATACTCAAGCATCCTCCCTTGGGCCCCCCTTGGCTTCCTTGCATCTGTGGATTGTAGCGTGTTTATCCTGTACTTTGTGACTAGCATCCACTTATAAGTGAATATAAGAAGTGTAGAGTTTAAGGTTGTGCAGAGATTGAGGGAATGGAAAACCAGTGACTGGCCCAACTTGAGACCAGCCCCATAGCAGAGAGAGCCAACCCTTGACACTATTAATGATACTCTGTTACGCTTGCAGACAGGAGCTTAGCATAACTGTCTTCTTGAGCCTTCATCAAGCAGCTGGTGGAGACTGATGCAGACACCCAGGTCAAACCAGAGGCCGAGCTCAGGGAGTTTTGTGGAAGAATGGGAGGAAGAATTGAAGAAGCGGAGGGGTCAAGGACAACGCAAGTAGATCTACAGAATAAACTAACCTGGGCCCATGGGGGCTCACAGAGACTGAACCACCAACCAAAGAGCTTGCCTGCGCTGGACCTAGACCCCTACATAAATGTGGCAGATGTGCACCTTGGTCATCAAGTGGGTCCCCATACAATGGGAGAAGGGTCTGCCTCTGACTCTGTTGCTTGCCTTTGGCTCCCTCTCCCCTACCTGGCCTTAGTGGGAGGCCACTTAGTCCTACTGCTACTTGAGGTGGCAGGATGAGTTGGTACCCACGGGGTGGACCTCTCCTTCTCTGAGAAGAAAGAGAAGGGGTAATGAGAGAGGGAGAGTGACTAGGAGGAGAGGAGGGAGGGGTTGGGATCAAGCTGTAAATAAGTAAATAAAAATGATAAAAATTAAAAAAAATCAAGCTACATGTTTCTGGAGCTCCCAGCCTCCATGCTCCCTGTACCTGATCAAAAATCACTTTTAGTTCATCTACAATATAGACCACTTTTCAAGAAAAAAAGAAAAAAGAAGAATGTAAGAGCTGCAGTATAGGAAGGAGACTTACTGTTTTCTTGGCATAACCCATGTTCGGCACTAACTGGACTCAGTGGGCTATTAAAAATAATTTTTAAAGAACATGAAGAATTTGGGAAGGAGACAGCTGGGTGGGTCCTGAGATGAGCTAGAGGGAGATAATAGGGGGATTATATGATCAAAATAATTTGTACTCATGTATGAAATGTGCAATAAATAAATTAGTATTTAATTTATCTCATGGTTCTAAAGATTTTTTTCATTATTTTAAAAATAAAAATTTTTGTTATCCAGGCATGGTGGCACACACCTATAATCTCAGCACACAGGGAGGCAGAGGCAGGCGGATCTCTGTGAGTTCAAACCTAGCCTGGTATACAAAGCAAGTCCAGGACAGCCAAACCTTGTCTCGAAAAACTATAATAATAATAATAATAATAATAATAATAATAATAATAATAATAATAATAGTTTATTTAAGTTTTCATGCACTGTATTTTGACATTTCCCTTCCTCTAACTCCACCCAGATCCTCCTACTCAGACCTTTCTACCCAGACCACCATGTACACAAAGTATCTCCCTCTCTCCCTTCCTCTTCCTCGCCTCTTTTGTCTCTTGCTCTCTCGATTAGGAGTAGTTGGACAATGTAATACAGACTCCATGTGGGTTTTTTTTTTTTTTTTAGTTTTTTATTATTCATCACAGGTTAATTTGTATCCCAGCCGTAGCCCCCTCCCTCATTCCTTCCCAATACCACCCTCCCTCCCTTACCTCCTCCCTGCCCCTTTCCAAGTCCACTGATAGGGGAGGACCTCCTCTCCTTCCATCTGACCCTAGCTTATCAGGTATCTTCAGGACTGGCTGCAATGTGGCCTAGCAGGGCTGCTCCTCCCTCGGGAGGTGGAAGGAGGTAAAGGAGCCAGTGATTGAGTTCATGTCAGAAATAGTTCCTGTTCCCCTAACTAGGGAAACCCACTTGGATACTGTGGGTTTGATATATACTGTTGGATATACTGTGGTATATCCAAATACCACTTGGATATACCATGGGCTATATCCCAGCAGGGGTTCTAGGTTATTATCCATACATGGTCCTTGGTTGGAGAAACAGTCTCAGAGGACACCCATGCCCTGATATATTTTGTCCCTGTGGAGCTCCTGTCCTCTCCAGCTCATATTAACTCCCTCTTTTACTATATGATTCCCTGCACTCTACCAAAGTTTTGGTTATGAGACTCAGCATCTGCTTTGATACACTGCTAGGTAGAGTCAGCAGCCCTCTGTGGAGGGTTCCTGTCCTGTTTCTTGTTTACTCCTATTTCCCATGTCCATTGCATTTGTCTTTCTAAGTGAGGATTGATCATCTTACCCCGAGTCCTCTTTCTTGTTTATCTTCTTTAGGTGCACATATTTTAGTATGTTTATCCTATCTTATAGGTCTATATAAGTGAGCATATACCATGTGTGTCTTTCTGCTCCTGGGATATCTCACTCAGGATGATCTTTTCTAGATCCCACCATTTGCCTGTAAATTTCATGATTTCCTTGTTTTTAATTGCTGAGTAGTATTCCATTGTGTAAAAGTACCACAATTTCTGTATCCATTCCTCCGTTGATGGACATCTGGGTTGTTTCCAGATTCTGGCTGTTACAAATAAAGCTGCTACGAACATGGTTGAGCAAATGTCCTTGTTGTGTATTTGAGCTTCTTTTGGATATATGCCTAGGAGTGGTATGGCTGGATCTTGAGGGAGCGCTATTCCTAATTGTCTGAGAAAGTGCCATCTGGCGCATACTTTAAGTTTTAGTTTGTTTTCTTGCTTTTTGTTTTTGTCTTATTCGGTTTTTTTGTTTGTTAATTCTTATTTTGTTCGGTTAGACAGAATTTTGTTTTCAAAAATGAAGGAAATAAAATGTAAACTTAAGTATCGTATATCAGTTTACTTGTTGCAACCAGTAGACCCAGTGGCCCTTTTCTGTGCAAAGATGCTGTTTAGAGCACATTACAACCCCTGGTCGGCATAAATCCTTACCATCCTATTGGCTGGAAACAGTTTCTCATGCTTTGTTTAATAACTTTTACATTTTTGAGAAATAAGAACTGGTCAAGTCAGGGGTAAGATGATCAACCCTCACTTAGAAAGACAAATGGGATGGACATTGGAAGTAGGAGAAAACAAGTAACAGGACAGGAGCCTACCATAGAGGGCCTCTGAAAGACTTTACCTAGCAGTGTATCAGAGCAGATGCTAAGACTTATAACCAAACCTTGGGTAGAGTGCAGGGAATCATATAAAAGAAGGGGGAGTTAGTAAGACCTGGAGAGAACTGAAGCGCCACAAGGACCAAATATTTCTGGGCACAGGGATCTTTTCTGAGACTGATTCTCCAACCAAGGACCATGTATGGATATAACCTAGAACCCCTGCTGGGATGTAGCCCATGGCAGCTTAGTATCCAAGTGGGTTTTCCTAGTAAGGGAAACAGGGACCGCCTCTGACATGAACTCAATGGCTGGCTTTTTGACAACCACCCCCGAAGGAGGAGCAGCCTTGCCAGGCCACAGAGGAGGACATTGCAGCCAGTCCTGAAGAGACCTAATAAGGTAGGGTCAGAAGGAAGGGGAGGAGGACTTCTCCTATCAGTGGACTTGGAAAGGGGTAGGGCGAAGATGAGGGAGGGATTGAGAGGGAATGAGGGAGGGGGCTACAGCTGGGATACAAAGTAAATAAACTGTAACTAATATAAAAAATAAAAATTGAAAAAAATCTATACAGCACACACACACACACACACACACACACACACACACAAAACAGAACTGGTCAAGTGCTTTGTAGACTGTCTTTCAGGATGCTCTGGTTTGTTTTTTGTTTTTTGTTTTTTCTTTTCTTTTCTCTATATTGGATTATAAAATTCTGCTGAGTATCTAGAAGAAGGCAGTTTTTGTATATTCTGTAGATTATTGCGTGTGGCTTCCCTTTCTGTAGGATGCACCTGAAGAAGCTGCAGAGGATTGCCTGGAACCCACCACATTAGGAAAAACCGTCAAGCCTGAGTTTCGATGCTGGAAGAGTGCTTGCTGATATCTTCATAGGTGTCTTCTTCGTCCTCCGCCAGCTTCGTCAGACAGCTCTATTGGGTTGCTGCTCCGGGGCCATCATGACGTTCTCAAGCAAGACTTGGGCATGTTGTCTCACTTGTTCTGCTGCATCTCTCACATCCCATCAGAAGTCTTCCTGCTGCCTTTGAGACAGAGCCCTGGCTTGCCCAGCTGGGTCTGGGAAGCTGCAGACGCCGCACGGACAGGTCGCGCTGACCTTTTTCCACCCAAGAGCTTACTCCAGGCGGTGTGTCTGATACCATGGTTGCTGTTTTTCAGGTCTGGCTTCGTCAGAGCTGCCACAAAAAGCTCGTGGTGAAACCTAAACTGTATCACAGTTGATGTGTCATGAGACGAACTTTTTCTAAATGTAGCTGAAAGAAGGTAAGTACATCTGCCTCTCTCTCTCCTCGGGCTTTTCAGAAACACAGAATTCCCTACAGACTCTCCAAAGAAACCCCAATATCTTGATGTGAAGTTGATGATATGCCCCTTGCATACATTTTCCATCTGTTTTTTTTTTCCCTGCTCCTCCTGTATCACACTTTCCCAAGAATTGTATATCTCATAAAATGAAAGGTTTTTGTTCTAATTTATTTTTCTCCTTCTGTCACACCAGAAGACAGCTGTGATCTGATGATCCACTAGCCCCAGTGTCCATTTCTAGAGCCCAATCAATGTTCATCATATTAAAAACAATTAGCAACAACTCTAAGTAATGGTATGTAAATCTTTTTAGACTGATAGACAGATGGTTGATTCTCGAAATACAAGAGAGTAACATAAAAAAAGATCAATATTCTAAGCTACAAGAGAGGAGGGCTTGTCTCACCAGTGACATATATCTTCTTGATTCTAACTTTTTATGACTTGTACACAAGAGGTGGTATAATGGGTGGACTAGATTACACATACAAGATTCAAGTGCTGAAAATATCTCATTTGATTTGTAAGAGACAGGTGTAGCAACAGGACAGTATATTGGCAAATATGTTGTCTCATGAATATTGTTGTATTGTGCAGTCACTGCCAAGTATATAAAATAAATTTGCTAACATGCTATGCTTGAAGAATAGCAACCAAATTTGAAAGAAAGAAAGATGACCACTGCTTCCATTTGTTTTACAGGGGAAAAAAATGCAGTTGAACCATTCCTGTCAAGTTTTTTGGGAAATGGAAATTCAGACCCTGGAGGAAGTTCCAATTTTTGTTTTACAGTTAATATAACTAATTGATTTGGGCCTATAGTTTTTAATAATAAAAAGCAGGGAAACTAACACAGTAGGGGTTCAAATAGTGTGACATAGATAGCAAAAATACAGATATCTGACTTTATAACACCACAATTTAATGTTTAGGGCACTGTCAAATATATCATCAAACATTAATCACCTCTGATATGACTAATTGATTGACACGCAAGAATAGATTTTGTTTCTATTATTCATTTAAATATTCTCACGTCACATTTTTTTTGTATTGTCAGTTAAGTTATACTGGTAGTAGATGAATTGGCATCCACATAACAACACACATTGCCTAATAATGGTAATGAATATGTCATTAGCTTAATTTGCTTAAGGTTAGAGGAAGATCTGATTGATGTCTTTATAATTTGAGAACTAAAATGAACAACCATGTCATGTAGTTGTATATCAAAAGCAACAATCTTTCACTAGTTTAGCTGCAGCCTTTCAGAGTAAAGCCTTCTATTCCCTCTCATGAGTTTTTGCTGAAGTTGGGCCAATTATTACACAGCCTCTCATTTGCTAAGAATCTCTCCCTTTAGGCTTAGTAAGTGATCACTCTGACGTCACTAAATGCTATTTTGATTTGTATTATTCAAAGAAGATGAATATGGCTTCATGTAAGTTGAAGAGTTCATTTGCTGTATTTTATACAACAAAATATTTATTAAACTCCTCCATATCTGGGTATTCTTTGGGGTGCTGGAATGATGGTGGTTGAGTTGGAAAAATCCTGGACCTGATGATAATTTATGCTCAGAGAGACTGACATGGAGTGACAAAATAAATATATAATACTATCAGGTTGCTTTGCATGCTATGGAGCAAGTGCAGAAAGGTTATATTGGGAAGATACCTAGAAATCCCCTGAGGCTACAATAATGAGACCTGAGGAAAGCAGTTAATGATAGTTAAAATATCCATTAATTGATTTGGTCCTTTAAATGGAAACATTTTTAAGAGGATTTTAAACTCTGTTTATATTGAGACATGGTGGGGAATACATACTCAGTTTTGAGCATTCTGTAGCACACTAGTGGATCTGAAGGTCTCTGATGATAAGCCCACACCTCTCTCTCTCTCCCCCAAACAGCTTCAAAGTGGAAGCTAGGCCTTCAGATTAGTCTCCCTTACCCAGTATATCCTTCTCTCTTTGTCACCTCACTTTTATGTTCACAATTGTTATTCGTCATTTCTGAAATAACAGCTTTGTCTAATTCTATACATTTTCTTTTAAATTTATTATGTATGTTAGTCACTGAGCAACAGTAATAAAAATGGCATGGTACTGGCATAGAAACAGAATGGTGGATCAATGGAACCAAATAGAGAAATAAACCCTAGAAATAAACCCACACACTTATGGACACGTTTTTGACAAAGACGACAAAACCATAAAATGGAAAAAAAGACAGCATCTTCAACAAATGGTGCTGGTCTAACTGGATGTCTCCATGTAGAAAAATGCAAATAGATCCATACTTATCACCCTGCACAAAAATAAAGTCCAAATTGATCAAAGACCTCAATATAAAACCAGACACACTAAACCTGTTAGAAGAAAAAGTGGGGAATACCCTGGAACTCATTGGTACAGGAGACAACTTCCTGAATAGAACACCAACAACACAGGCTCTAAGAGCAACAATCAATAAATGGGGTCTCATGAAGCTGAAAAGCTTCTGTAAAGCGAAGGACACTGTCGTCAGAACAAAACTAGTGCCTACAGATTGGGAAAAGATCTTCACCAACCTTATATCTGACAAAGGGCTAATATTCAGTATATAAAAAGAACTAAAGAAGTTAAGAAGCAACAAATCAAGTAATCCAATTAAAAAATGGGGAACAGAGCTAAACAGAATTCTCAATAGAGGAATATCGAATGGCAGAGAAACACTTAAAGAAATGCTCAACGTCTTTAGTCATCAGAGAAATGCAAATTCAAAACGACCCTGAGATTTCACCTTACAACCTTCAGAATGACTAAGATCAAAAACTCAAGTGACTTCCAGAACTATGTTGAAGAGATATGGAGAGAGTGGGCAGCCTTGTCTTGTCTCTGATTTCAGTGGGATTGCTTTAAGTTTCTCTCCGTTCAGTTTGATGTTGGCTATAGGCTTGCTGTGTATCACCTTTACTATGTTTAGATATGTGCCTTGTATCCCTGATCTCTCCAATACTTTAAACATGAATGGATGTTGGATTTTGTCAAATGCTTTTTCAGCATCTAGGGAGATTATCATGTGGTTTTTTTTCTTTCAGTTTGTTAATATGGTGGATCACATTGATGGATTTCCGTATATTGAACCACACCTGCATGCCTGGGAAGAAGCCTACTTGGTCATGGTGGATGATATCTTTGATGTGTTCTTGTATTCGGTTTGCGAGTATTTTGTTGAGTATTTTTGCATCAATGTTCATAAGGGAGATTGGCCTGAAGTTCTCTTTTTTTGTTGGGTCTTTGTGAGGTTTAGGTACCAAGGTGACTATGGCTTCATAGAATGAGTTTGGTAATGTTCCTTCTGTTTCTATTTTGTGGAATAGTTTGAAAAGAATTGGAGTTAGCTCTTTTTTGAATGTCTGGTAGAATTCTGCACCGAAACCATTAGGTCCTGGGCTTTTTTGGATGGGAGACTTTCGATGACTGCTTCTATTTCCTTGGGGGATATAGGACTATTTAATTGATTTACCTGGTCCTGATTTAGCTTTGGTAAGTGGAATTGATCAAGAAAATTGTCCATTTCATTTAGATTTTCAAATTTTGTTGCGTATAGACTTTTGAAGTAAGTCCTAATTATTGTTTAGAATTCCTCAGTGTCTGTAGTTATGTCCCCCTTTTCATTTCTGATTTTGTTTATTTGGATGATGTCTCTCTGCCTTTTAGTTAGCTTGGCTAAGGGTTTGTCTATCTTGTTGATCTTCTCAAAGATAGAGCAATAAGACAGTTGAAGGAGATCAAGGGGATACAGATTGGAAAGGAAGAAGTCAAATTATCACTATTTGCAGATGATATGAGAGTATACATGAGTGACCCAAAAACTCTACCAGGGAATTCCTACAGCTGATAAACACCTTCGGCAAACTGGCCGGATACAAAATTAACTCAAAAAAATCAGTAGCCCTCCTGTATACAAATGAGAAAAGGGCTGAGAAAGAAATTAAAGAAACAACACCCTTCACAATAGCCACAAATGACATAAGGTACCTCGGAGTAACCCTAACCAAGGAAGTCAAAGACTTATATGAAAAAAATTTCAAGTCTCTGAAGAAAGAATTAGAAGAAGATTTGAGAAGATGGAAAGATCTCCCATGCTCATGACCTAGATGTCCCTTAACCAAAGAATGGATAAAGAAAATATGGTACATTTACACAATGGAATATTACTCAGCTTTTAAAAACAATGACATCATAAAATTTGCAGGCAAATTGATGGAACTATAAAATATCATCCTGAAGTCTACCACAGAGGGCCTCTGAAAAATTCTACCCTGAAGAGTATTAGAGCAGATGCTTAGACTTATAGCCAAACTTTGGACGGAGTGCAGGGAATCTTATGAAGGAAGGAGGAGATAGTAAGACCTGGAGAGGACAGGAGCTCCACAAGGAGAGCCACAGAACCAAGAAATCTGGGCACAGGGGTCTTTTCTGAGACTGATACTCCAACCAAGGACTATTCAAGAAGATAACCTAAAAGCCCTACACAGATGTAGCGCTAGGCAGTTCAGTGACCAAGTTCCACAGTATTGGGAACAGGGACTGTCTCTGACATGAACTCAGTGGCTGGCTCTTTGATCTCCTCCACCTGAGGGTGGAGCAGCCTGACCAGGCCACAGAGGAAGACAATGCAGCCACTCCTGATGAAACCTAATAGACTAGGATCAGAAGGAAGGAGAGGAGGACCTCCCCTCTCAGTGAACTGGGGGAGAGACATGGGTGGAGAAGGGGGAAGGAGGGTGGATTGGGAGGAGAAGAGTGAGGGAAGCTACAGGGGGGATACAAAGTGAATAAACTGTAA